GGGGGGGGGGGAGAGGAGGGGTAGTGATGGCGAGAAGGGGGATGAAGGAAAAAGTGCTGATGGAAACCAAGGGGAGAGGGGACATGGGGGACGGGGAAGAGCGAAGATGATTGTTGGCCAACAATGCCCGATATATTTTTACATATAATTAGGTCAGTGTTTCGAACTTTCAAATTAAATGTTTCCAATCTATCTTTTCAGAATAAATTTTTATGTCTTCTTCAGCCCATTATTGTCTATATTACCTTTTCGATAGCAAATTTTATCTTTTTTTTTTATTCAAAAATCTATAACCTTTTCCTTGTTGTCATGCAAATTTTTTTTGTGTGTATGTGTGTTTACGTGTTATTTTTGTTGTTCAATTATCATCAAACTTTTTTTTGTTTTAAATCTTTTTTTTTTATGTTAACGATTTCAGCAAAGCACTACAGTAGTTTTGCGGATGGTCATTGCTCTGCAAAAAAAAAAAAAAGGAAAAAAAAATTGGTTTATTTATTTTGTTTTTGTCTTACTTTATGCTTGGAATCAGTTTGGTCTGAACTGGTCGTTGATAACTTTGTTTAGTCTGTCTTTTATGAAAATAGAAAAAAAAGAGAGAAGAAAGAAAGAGAATTTTTAAATTTTGTTTTTCTCTTCTTCTTCTCTCATCTTTTACTTTTTCTTTTTGTAGTTTTATTGTTTTGTTTAGGTGGAATCAAAGCATAAAATGTTGAAAAATAGGATTGCAGTAAGCATATTTTGATGGAATTTGTAACAAAATTTTGTAAATTTTAGTCCTTTTTTTTCCTCTTTTCTGTTCGCTCGGTTTTATGTGTTGTTTTATAAAATATTTTTGCTAGTACTTTATTGTGGTTTTTGGTTTGCTGCATTTAACAGCCGTTTAGTCAAACAAACAGTTGAACGATTAGCAAAAAATCGTTTAAAAGTGTTTACATATTTCCTTGCTAACTTTTTTTTTTCGCACTTACCTGATAACTGTTGCAACTTGAGTTTTTTTTTTTTTTAAGCAGATCTGTCATACGAAAATTTTCACAGAAATCTTGTGAATTGTGTGACAGTTGAAAGAACAATAACAAAATAAAAAAGCGAAGAAGTAAAGACAAAAAAAAAAAAAAAGTAGTAAGAAAACAGAAGAAATAATAAATAATAAACAAAAAATAATAAATAATAAACAAATGAAAAATCAAAGTTATATTTAATGAAGAAAGCAAAAGATTGGTATTTATCTGATGAAATGATTCATAGGCAGCGTATCTGTTTTGCTGAAACACAGCAGGAAACTACTAATTCGCCTCTTGGATTAACCAAATTGACAACACTTAATGTATCCCAATTTTTCCAACTCATTTTTTTCTTCTTTTTATTCTTTTGTTATCTTCTTGTTTTTTTTTCTTAGTTTACAATTTATCATTGAACTATCTGTTTGATCAACAAGTATTACTGAGTCTTGATAAGTATTGCAGAGGGCAGATTATTGAGCTTTGGTTTTTTTGAATCGGTTGAGCAAATGAATTGATAAAGATGGCTAATTTGTGCATGGGAGACAGAAGAGTAAAACAACAGTGTAAGTTTAGTCGAGAATTTTGTTGATAAAACAACTAAGTCTAACTGCCGATTGTAAAAGTGGAACTTTAATGGGTAACACAAATTTGTTTAAAAAAATTGTAGATTGTTAAGATGAACGGAGGAAATTAACAAGACATTCTTCATCTTTTTTTCTCATTGTTTTTGTTGTTTCTTTTGTTGATTTAAATCACTGACGAGAAAAAAAAAGGCGAAAAAACGAACGAAAGATTTGTTAAAAAAACTAATGAGAAAACATTTTTGATTTTTTGAACGAAAAAAGCGAGGTTTCTTTTGTGAATAATGTTTTGTCAAAAAATTTTTGTACAGAAAAATCGTACGAGACTTATTGTTTTATACAGTGCCTTAAAGCTCTGTGTCTGTGTCTGTGTGTGTTTTGGTTTGATGTGTGTGAATTGTGTGTCGGTGTATGTCGGTGTCTATTTTCGTTTGAATGATGT